ATATTTGTAACTTAAAAACTTGTATTCTCACATAAGAATTGTACTTGTAAATTTGGTTCGTACTTGTGAATTTGATTTGTACTTGTAAATTTGATTCGTACTTGTAAATTTGATTCGTACTTGTAAATTTGATTTGTACTTGTAATGTGGCGAAGTTGTAACAAATTTATGTATGTTTATTGACTTACATGTACAAATTTAGACTTTTACACATACAATAATTCTGACAGTTATCTTATCCCATACATTTAGCTAATACTGATTAGTATAACATTTAATAGATGACAACTGCACTTGCATGTTTTTGACTTTAAATTAGTAATGTGTATTCTAAAATTGTACTTACATCCGTAAAACTAATGTGCTTAAAAATACTGAAAACAAAGTGATGTCTTCAATCCTTCCAGCATTTTTCAGGAACACGTTGACAGAGTGCATCATGGATTCTCAGCTGAGTAGATCTGTTTCCACCGTTCACTGGAGGAGAGTTTGTTGTAGCTTTCGTTTGGCCTCAGTCCACATTTACTGCTTTTCATGTGATCATAATACATGGCAATAATTGCAAAGTAACAGTTTTGCTAATTATTAATTGCACACGATATGGTTTTGCCCAACCCTACGCTGTAGAGTAGCTAAGATGGCATCCAAAACAGGCAACAGCCCACAGCAGACAACTATTTGATTAACAGCAAGCCAAACTGGATCTGTGTCACAAATTATTTTAATCGCTTTTCAATAAATTAATATAAATCATAACTAAATAAATTTGTCATAATTGATTATATAAACCTGAACAAAAATCTGTCAATAATTCATGACTGGCTTCCAAAGATTTCCAGACTTTTCATTTCGTTAAATAATTGACTTTAACAAGTAGATGATTGTTTTACACTGGTTAAATGTTAAGAACGACTGGAGGCAAAACCAGCCTGTAATATTTAATAATTTGTGCTAAATTGTAGCATGATTCAGTGTTACTGGACTCCTCCCTGGTGAGGGGTTCTGGACACGTCCCAC